ATATATATAACATCAAAGACGATGATACAGGTGACGACACAGTGCCGACACACTCTGCTCTTTTAGTAATGGTAGCAATGCTGAACTTAGTTTCGTTTCAATATCATTAGTTACATGTTGTTTAGAATGAAATAACTTTTCATTATTATTTTTTGCTTATTTGGAAGTTTTGTATGTTATTGATTCTAATCATATTATTCATCATAATAGATTCTTGACTTGAAGGCACGAATTGATGTACGAAGATTTTTATTATTATCTACATGGAATATATATGTCGTGTCCAATGATCATAAGTCTGAACTTGAAGCTGAATGTTATCTGAAAGAGAAAGATATTTTTTTTAAACGTATTTATTGAGTAATTTATAATGAAATTTTTTCATTATCTCACAAACATAGATTTTTAATTACAGTGTCCCAAAAGTCCCTAAAAAAAAGTTTCCATAAATATCTTTTCTCCAATTCGCACGATTTAATTGCTTTTTCTATAATATAATAATATACTCTTTAATTCTTATATCATATAATTTGATTGACAACAAATGTTGAAAACGATAACCATCAAGTAAAATATAGAAAATTATTATTCTCGAAATCTTTAAAAAAAGAATACTGCGAAAAGTTTATTTTCCGATTAACTTATTCTCGTTATCAGCTCTTATTTTGAATGCAAAAAAAAAGTCATTTCAACTTGATTTTATCAATATTCTTCGTGAATTTGTATTAGATAAGTTCTACATTATATGACTTCATTTGAAGATGGGCCATCATAATTCAGTGTGCTGTTTTTTGTGGAATGATAGTCTGTCACAGTCACCGGTACACTTAATATTGGCATATTTTCACAAACATCATGGATTTCCTCGATTTTCTGTTGTATTGTCTTGCAAGATTTTTCAAATCTTTTTCGATTAACTACTACACTGGTTTCTCAAAAGCATCTCTAATACAGTCTGTGTCTGACATTTGTATACCAAATTTTATTTGCATTCTCTCTTTCACTATGATAGAGGACGCAAATTTAATTATTAACAAAACTATTTCTATTCGAGTGTTTCTGAACACAGACATTTGCCTAAAATTATACCGAACAAAGCTCCCAAAAGATATATTATAATTTTTTTTAAATATATAAATCGCTTGAACTATGTAAGAGATATTTACGTTAACTTTCTCTACTAACTTCTGAAACAACCTATATGTGAACAGCTATTGAGAAGACTATTGTGCTTACAATATTTGTTTTCGACGTTCATTATAATAAATTGTCATTTTCGTTTTATCTTTCACTCGTTCTTATTCTTCTAGTTGCAAAATGTTTGTGTGTCAAATGAAAAATAATCTTACATAGACACAATACAACCTGGAACATCAATTGTTTATATATGTGAAAATATACACGTGGCAGTATTATTTATTCATTTCGACTGTCACAACATTAATTAGATCTTTCAAGAACTAGAACAAAAAAAATATTTAAAAAAAACGAAGATTAAAACTTGAAGAGATCTGAAAATTTTCTAATTATATAATTTTGTCTTTGTTTCATATTCATAAATTTCAAGTAAATAAATTGAAAAATATCGTAAAATGAAATGATCATATAGAAGCAATTCACATTTTCAAAAATTCCACTAAAATACACTGTTCCATACTATTATGAAAGAATCTCGTCAAGTTATAAATAAATTTTAGAATGAAACTTATTGCATTAGCTAGTCTCTATTGATAATAGAAAAAGCACAAAAAGAATTTGTGCCTATGGATTTTTCATCTTTATTATTGATTATTTTAGTGAATTTTTCAACACAATACCATCGTCTTTTTCTTCCAAATTCATTTTTGAATGTAAGCGTTGCACAACCCTATATTTCTCATTAGGACTAATGTATTGTGAACGAATCTGACTTTCTAGTATCTTCTGCTCTAAGATATAAATACAAGAACTAGATGTTTATTTTTTCATATAATAGAATTTGCTATATTAACATCTGAAGATCGAAGATACTCGAAAATTTGATACTTTTACAATGACCTCATCTGATTGAATGCATTATTTGTTCAGAGTTTGATGTCGAAATTCCAAAGTTAATTTCAAAAGCAATTTGAGAAAGATAAAAGCCTTTTGTAAAAAACAAAAATAATTGAGATTGATACAAAAAAACGGGGGAAGGGTCGA